AGTATATAAATAAATTATCCGGACAACCCCGGACAATTGATTTACATCAGCCAATCACACGAAAGTCCTCCTATGATAATATGATCGTTACTGCGCCAGTGACATCCTGAATTTACAAAAGTCAATAAAGCAAAAGCGATTACATTATTTGACTAACGCGTATATATTTATTTATTTAATCAAGCACGTATTATTGTATGGATTCTCCACTGTTACTTTTATAAACCTGGCGTTTCCTAAGCCTGTAAATCCTGGGGGGATACGTTCTTCCCCTGGTGTTGTCTTCGAAATGGTTGCTTAACGATCTTTGAAAGATGCATAAGGTTCTGGTTCTTATACTCAGCGGTTCCTAAGCCTGTAAATCCTGGGGGGTACGTCCTTCCCCTGGTGTTGTCTTCGAAACGAGCGCATATTTTATCGTATTTTATGATTGCTTTAATGTGCTGATCTTATGTTATCCGGAGAAGATTTCGGGTTTAAAAATTTGAAAAAATGTAAAGGTCTTTTCCTCAGCTTTTACTAATGCTTTTTTATATTTTTTTTATATTCTTATGTTCTTTTAAAGTCAACATTATGGTTTGTATCATAGTTCACATTTTAACCTGTTAATGGTTGTTTGTGGTATTAATATATTACACCATTTTATTACGTTATTTATCTGCAGGATTATGTAAAAGTATTAGAAGGAATTTTATCATCTGGAAACATTAGTGCCATCAGATTTTTCAAAAAGGCTGAATTTACATTCTCTCAAAAGGAAGAGGCAGAAAAGACGCTCTTTAAAACATTAAAAATTGTTATATCTAAGGATGATATACATGCTATAACAGCTAAAAGATTGATTAATAATTTTGACAAATTTATTAGTACTTTCAGTGTACAACAATATTGGAATAGCCTTAACGTCCGAATAGAGAAAACCATCACTAGTACTGCACAAATTATATTACAGGAAAAAGAAGTAATTATCTATACTTCATAAGCTTTAGTAAAGTTATTGTTGTTAACTTGTTTATTACAAACTATTTAGGAACAAAATGCTTGCCAAATAAGGTGTAATATGTTAGAAAAGAATATTAAATCATTAACAAGAAAAAGGAGTGATGTGAATGATTTTGAGGAAAAACGAACGTCAAAAAAACAGAATATAAATAAGCTAGCTTTCGATGATGAGGTAGATTTTGACGACAACGAGATATTCAGTATGGATACAAGCATCGTATTTACAGATAACGATACTGATGAAGATTATGAAGAAATTTTATCCAATTATGAAGAATACTGCGAAGAAGAAACCCAAACAGACGTGGTTGGTATACTAACATCTATGTTACTTATGTCTTTTAATGTTACCTAATATCATCATTTCTTTTAACTTAGGCTTCAGCTGATACCATTGGAAGTTGGGTTTTGTCGAGTGGTAAGGATGTAGGCAAAGAATTATCCAAATACCGTGAAAATATTCCCCGCACCAAGGCATACCTATAGTGAGTTACACTTACTTTTGTAAGCATAAACATACTATTATAGTATCAATTTCCTAAGTTCTGATATTGATATTTTTAGTCCGGCCTATTTCGGGATACTAGATCTTTCCGGAGAGGATACAGAAGTAAAGAAGTTGTTTACAGATGACGAATGGAATGAGATGATCAAGGATTTTAATAATAATGTAAAATTAAGTGATATGGAAGACGAACAAGAGAGGCCCTTCTATGAGCTGATGGACAAAATTTCTGAGGTTAGCGAATTTGTAGTATTTACCTTTCATTTAATGTATCGGCTAATTAACCATTCTCTGTCCCTACGTTAGATATTGATGAAGAAACCTTTTGATCTAATTACCGGCATTGAAAGCTGTGTGATTGAAGTACGTATATCACTTGTATTGGTTTCTTATGGAAGCGCGGATCTAATGTTTGTCATTTATAGGACAATATAAAAGTAAATGCAATCAGATGACTTATTCAGACATAGTAAGTGTTTTTTTGCCTATTTGTAGTATTAGTTATTCATACTGCTCAATTATATGGATCAAGTTATCAACAAATTGGAGGACTAAATTCTATCCAAGTGACATCCAATACTACAAGTCTGTTAAATATTTCAATATCTCAACCACCAGTTGAAAATAATATAGTTCAATTCTTGCAACAATTGGAAATCTTGACAACAAAACTAGAAAATTCATCAATATCTGGTAACTGGAATCAAAATTAGAACAGATCAAGTAACAGATATAATAATAATAATAATAGAAATTATGCAAATAATCAAAGAAGAAATTATAACAGTAACAATAATAATAACTCATCAACAGCTTGTTATAATTGTGGAAAAATTGAACATATCATTGTTAATTGTTGATGCAAAAAAATAATAATTATAATCAACAAAATAATAATCAGAATTGCAATAATAATAATTGATATCAGAATAAAGATAACAATAATTGATAGTTCAATAATAACAATCGAGACAATAATAATAATAATTAACAAGAAGTTTTCTTAAATACTGAATAGCTTTTAAACTTTTAAATACATTTTAAGAAGGTGAACATGCATTACAAACTAAAAATCCTTCAAAACAATTTTTGAAACAATTATTAATTTACAATAAAAATAACAAAATTGAACAAATACCTATCGATGTATTATATTGTACTGAAAAAGTAAAAATAGAGATGTTATAATAATTATAGATAACGGAGCTGTTAGTAATATCATATCTAAAGCATATTTAAATAAAATCAATCAGAAGATTCAAAAATCAAGTAATATTAATTTTATTGAAATTAATGGAAATAAAGAACGATTACTTGGAGAAATAATAGACCTATTAATAATATTGGGTGACAAAAACTTAAATATTAATGCTCTAATAACTAAAAAAGAAGATTATAATCTTCTTTTAGAAAATATTTGGATCCATAAACATTAAGTAATAGTAGATTGGAAAAAGAAAGATCTAACTTTTGAAATTAATGGTCAAAAAATAAAAATATCAATTTCTTGTCTTAAACGAAGAAATACAACAAATGAGTAACAAAACTTATATACTTAAAAAGATAGTATTGAAATTAAAATTTATTTTGATAACAAGAAAGGTAAAAAACTTGAAAAAACACATAATACTAATGCTGAATTTGATCTCAGATATCCAGAAGATAAACCATTAGAAATTCAACCAGGAAAAATAATACTGATTGATAGTTATATTGCTATGAAAATACCTGAAAATACTTATTGTCAACTTGTATCAAGATCATCTTTGGCAAAACAAGGAATTGAAATAAAAGGTGGAGCAATTAATGCTGAATACACTGGTAATATTGGAGTAATACTCTATAATAACTCAGATTAAACATATATTATTCAACCAAATGAAAAGATTGCTCAAGCCATATTCTTATCATTAATAAAGATTTCCAATTTAAAAATCATTAACACACAAGAAAAATTAGAAAATTTAGAAAGAGATCAATAAGAATTTGGTTTATCAGAAAGATTCAATTCAAATTTTAATCTTGAAAATAAATTAGAATATTGTTGTATAATAATCTTTTGTTATAACATTAGATTATATATATTTCATATCTTATTGGATAAAAGTCAAATCACATGAAGTGAGCGATGTTACGATCAGGCTCCTGGTAGGTATAATCATGACGTAGGTGTTCAACCAACATCTGTTAACAATATTTTTACAGTGTCATGATCAGGTTCCTGATAGGTATAATCGTGACATAGGTGTTCAATCAACATCTGATAACAGTATTTTTATGGTTACCTGATCTCGTTGTAATTAGTATACTTCAGGATCATTACGCAGTGCATTTTCTTCTATCTTATAGATGAACTCTCACTATTACTAATAGATATTATGTCTACTTAGTGTGGGACAGTTCTATAGCAATACAGTATTGATATTCTATAGTAACTTTGATGGTTATCCAATAGTGCACAATAAATGCAAGTATTTTAATAAGTTATTATTTTAATTAATTAAGTGTATAAATTTCATTAACAATGAACAAGAAACAGTTTATTGACTAGTATTACAATTATTTTTAATAATTTCATAATTAATGAATCTTTTAAAAATAATAGAAAATATGAAAATCTTCAAAAATAATAATAAAAACAACAAATTGAGTAAAAGAATAGTGGGCTTTTTAAGACAATTTTGGTGCAATTTTTAAAACACTTTCTGTTTTCTATAGATTTTAGTCTTTTTACTATATTCCTGATAAACTTATATAAATCTATATGCAGTGTGTTTTTTTATATATGACATCTTGTAGTGTATTTTTTGATATCTATTTTTGATTACTATTTAGCTTTCTGATCCGGAGAAGCTAAGGTTCTCTTAGTGACTGTCTAAATTCTGTCAAAATTATAATAAACTATTAGTAAATAACCCGTCGAAATTCTGACGAATTTTGAAACCCGTCATAACTGAAATTATGTTGAAATTCTAATTAATAATTAGTGTGTAACCCGTCGAAATTATGATGATATTTTTCTAAAAGGATTTAGGCAAGCATCCTTAGGAGGAGCATAGCGACTCTGAATGCGAAGCATAGCGGAGCATTAGTTATCTGATTAGTTCACAATTAGCTTTCTAACACTAAGGAGCATACACCTTAGATGTGAGCGATGCAGTTGCAGAGCATAGTTATTTGATTGCTAATTAGCATTCTATCACTGTGAGCATAAACCTTTAGGAGGAATACGAAATATGAATAATGTATTTTTTGATATCCTATTTGATCACTATTTAGCTTCCTATTATTGTGAGCACATTCTCTCTATTTGATAATAAAAACTCGATTGCGACATCAAATCAATGATAATTTATTCACGTTTGATGTATTTTTTTGTTAACTATTTTGATTACTAAACCATTTTCTGACCTGGAGGAGCATAGCGAGTCTGAATGCGAAGCATAGCGGAGTATAGTTATCTTATTTGATTACTAAACCATTTTCTGTCCTGGAGGAGCATAGTGACTCCGAATATGAAGCGTAGCGGAACATTAGTATCTATTTAATCAACAATTAGCTTTTTTAATACTGCAAAGTAAAGTGAAGCAGTAGCATTCTTAAAGTATTCTTTTGATAAAGAGTATAGTAAAAAATATAATTAGCGGAGCAAGCACAGACATGAAGTGTTATTATTCTATAATAAGTGCTAAAAATTTATTGCAAAGCAATGAGCTAAGCCCTAGATATGTGACAGGTGTATTTCTTGGTCTCACAAAGTGAAGATGCTATGGTATCTAACAATATTAATCAAATTTATGCTGATTTTCTGATCCTATGAACACTCTTCGAGCATCTGAAGTCTTACGGAGTAAGGATATTTTGCATCTGTCGAGCATAAAACTACATAATATAATATCCTTTAACATGTTTTTTACAAGTACCGGGTACAGAAGAAGTTGGCTTACTACAAATCTTACATAAAATACATTTTTTTGCTCTCCAATGTTCGTGATATCCTTCACAACATCAGCATCCACGTCCACAGACTTCTCCGGAGTTGTGTATATATTCGCAAGTATATTTACCATGCATTTTGATAAATTTATATAACTGAATTAATTATTTTAATTTAAACAAAAGATTTGGTTATAATAATAAAAAACACGGATTACATATTACTATGATTAAGATACTTAAATGTTCAGGTTGTGATTGAGAAATAAGAATCAGTAAAACCCGAGATTTTAATAAATACATGAATTTAAATGGAAACCTTCGTAAAGATCAATGTTTACCAGCTTTGCGTTTAATTAGTATTCCTATGAACCAAACTGAACCGGACTTTTGCCTGGGTTCAAGTTCGGTTCGAAATTCGAACCGAACTCGAACCGGACTTTGGCTTGAGTTCAAGAAAGGTTCGAAGTTCGAACTGAACTCGAACCGAACCGTTATACGAGTTCGAGTCTGGTTCGAGTTCGATTAAAGATCGGCATATAGTATCATATACC